TCTCATTTTGCAGGACCCGCCTATCATTCCTCCGCCGCCACTCCCTCCAGCCTCGCCTTCGAACAAAAAGCTCAAGGAGGAGTGGCGGCCGAAGCCGCAGGTGGCTAAGCCTGCACGGAAGAAGAGTGGAGACCACTATGAGCTGGTCCCACCCCCCGCACCACGACCACCCTGGCCATCCGAGTACTCACTCGCCTGCATCTTGCCGGATGGCCAGGTCGAGCTGACTTCTGCTGGTGGTTGCAACCGTCGGGTGCACGGTCACCACCTGAAGCTGTACCTCAAGAGCGATGTGGATCCGCTCTTGGAGGGACCTGTCCCTGCACTTCCCTGAGTATCCACCATGGGCGTCCAGCTAAAAGACGGTAAAGAAGCGCTTGTGGGGAGGCAACCCCACCACGGTTTGCCTTTCTTTCTTATGTTTCGAGTCGGATTGCGTTTTGGTTTGGTTTTGGTTTGTTTTCTTTGTTCTGGATGATGTCTTATTGGGCTGACCTCGGACCTAACATATTCTGGCTGAGCTCTTCTGTTTCCCTTGAGCTGTGCTGTGTTCCCGCCTGGTCCGTTTCCAGTCTCCTGCAGTCTGTGCATACCGGTAACATCGTTCCCCTTTCCTTTCCTCTTCTCCATTGAGGACAATGTCGATCTTAAGTGTGGGGGAGTGTTTATCTTTTGACTGCATTAGATCTGTTTGTGTGCTTGGAGCCTAGTCCACTGTCCGAATCTTACGATTTGAGGGCTCCAAGTACTGCTGTTTGATCATATTGGCACTGTGTTTTGATGGATGAATTGATTGGTTTTTGAATTAATGCATGACAACTTGTTTGCGACTAGGACAACCTATGATGAGGACTGAGATGTGCAGTAGAACGATGTAGGGGTTCAGTTTTTCAACTGTTTGCTTGCCAACTGTGACTTGATCTGACCTGATCTGATTACTTGCTCTTGACAGTCGTTTATGCATCTAGTTCAGGGTATCAGAATGTGAGATAGAGCATATAGGTAGCCATGTGAGATTTGAGCCTGCTCGTTTCTTTCTTGTGCGATAGATCCCTCTTCCATGATGTGTAGCATTCACGTTGTCACTAGCTAAAATGATGGGGGCATAGGATTAGCCCACGCCCAAAACTGACTGTCCTGATGTGTCATATCCCCTAGTCAGCCCCTTTGAGCCGTGTGTATCCTTTCTTTTGGTCTATAATGGAAAAAATCACCCTTGTTGCATCTTGTAGAAGGTTCCACAGTGTGGTTTTTATAAATTCTCTGCTGTTTCTGCTAAAGTCTATGTGAGTGTTGGAGGTAGTGCTTAAAAGTTGGGCGGATGTTTGAAATATGTGCAGGAGTGGTGGCTCTCTTAAGAAATGAAAAGAAAAATGAAAGAAAAACAAAGAAAAAAATTGAAAGCAAAAGAGAGCCACCACCAAAAATCTGAGTAATGCCCAGTAAGTAGTGTTTCTTAGCAATCTGGCTTGGGAACGCTGATGTTTGTGCCTCCATCGCTCTTGTGATCTTAAGATATTGAGTAATGCAGGATAGCAGAAAGAAAATACCGGGTTGTTGACTGTGTTTGTGTGTTTGGGAAATGTGGAACCTTTGCTATGAATACTTCCACCACCTAAAAGGCCTTTTCCCCATGTCCAAGACCCTAGCCAGTCATTTGAACCTGTGTCTAAGACCTCCTGATTAGTTAGTGGTGACACCCCACATGTGAACTCTAGCATTTAGAGGCTGCCATCATGGTGAAGAGATGATAGGTATTGAGAGAAATAGCATGCGCATCTTTCGCATAAAATTGTCCTGACCCCACTGGTCGAGAGTGAGTGATTCATTTTCATTTTCTATATGCTCTTGTACCCCGGTGAGGACCTAGATTGCTCGGTCTCTATTCTGATGTCTTGAGTTGGATGCATGAGTTGACTGTTTTGAGTAAGTGATTGAATCAAGTCTAGGTTGGCTAGTGAACAGAAGGGAGACTCTTCCTGTACTCGATTTGCTGCACTCGAATGACCTTTGTGGTGGTTGTCCAGGTTGTTAGTGAGGTTGTGCATGTATTGATGTTTGAAAAACCAGTGCGATTCACGTGTTCTGTGCCTTTATGACTTGTCCCCAATGTTGGTTGATTGTGATATGTAAGCTTACCTAGTGTCTGACTTGGTTTGCTTGGGGACAAGCAAACGGTTAAGTGTGGGGGAGTTTGATAGACCGTTAGTTACACATGTTTTTACCCCTGCTCTTACTCCGTTTGAGGTGTTGATTCTCGTGTTTTAGGCCGATTTCACGCTAGGTTGTGTTTGTTTGTGTTATTTCAGGTCCTAGTACGTGAATAAGGGCTTAGGAGCGAGTTTGGGGTCGATTGGACGACAAACGGACGAAGGGCGAGCTTGTTGGGGAGCCGCACGGCCAGACCACGGAGACGCACGGCCGTGCACTTGCACCATATGGCCGTGCGCCTCATGCCGAGAGCTTGCACGGGCAAAGCAAAGAACCGCACGGCCGTGCAACATACAAACCTGGCCGTGCGGGTTGGTGCGAGAGCTTGCACGGGCACAATCCAGATGTGCACGGCCGTGCGCCTGGCCGTGCAAGATGGATGAAGGCGAATAAATGAAACGGCGCGTTTTAGGGTGCACGGCCAGAATGGTGATGTGCACGGCCGTGCACCCTGGCCGTGCAACTCGGGGAAAACTGATTTTAAAGCCTAATTCGAGCAAACAGAAGGGGATTCGAGTTTTAGAGAGATAGAACGATTCCTAGAGAGAGAAAGTGACGAACAAGAGTCTCCAAGTGCCCTAGATCGATCTTCAACACCATTGGAGCTTGGTTTGAGCTTGGAGAAGTGCCGATTCAACGTCCAGGAGCAGAAATCCATCTTCACAGTATGATTTCCGCATCTGATTCTGCTTTTGCTTTCTTCTCCATGGAGTAGTTCTCCCATTCATCTGGGTATGGAGAACCCTAGATTTGTATGTTAGGCTTCGATTGTATGAACCCAAGTACTGATTCTGTGATTGATTATATTCGATTGAGGTTTTATGATTGAATGACTTGAATCCTGATCACATTCCTGTTGTTTCTGCTTTAACCTAGAATGATAATCTCTGACTAGGTTAATAGAGTATCCTTGATTGAAGGTAGGGAGTTGGTGACTTTAGTCGAGGAGCCAACTCACTATTCTGTACCGGATTTACTCCGGTAGTGGAGGTTTTGTTCTTAGGGCCTCAATCTGTCGACTCCGGTGGAGGTTAGTCGCCCGCTAGAGAGTCAGATTGAGAGGGTCTGAAGACCTTTAGTCGAGACTTCAGACTGTTTAAGAACCTTCCGCAGTATAATCTTCATAGAAACTGAACTTGGTAATTACAATCCGGCTTAACTACAGTCTAGGGGGAACCATATCCGGGTGACCTCTTTAACCTGAATACAACCAGTTTACTTGCTTTGTTTGATTGGTAGTTTAGACTTGCACTCCAGTTTTATTGCTAGATAACAAGAACTCACTGAGTAGTCAGCAAATCTAGGACCCGGGTTGACATATAAACCTAACCCGCTATACTACGCTTTAGGAAGTGGTTACACTTGGCCATTTTCTAGAGTGACAGTAGAGTCGAGTCAATATCCTATACTTTACACCACATACCTTGTATCCTAACCACGTACCATAAACATAAATTAAAAAGGGATCTCCTGCCGTTAAAGACTTCAAATGACTTCAAGTGAACATATGTTAATAAAAAACTTGGAACCGTCAAAACCATCAATATCTTATACCCTAACCATATACACCCTAAACCATATGTACCTTATACCCTAACCATATACTTTATATCCTAAACAACGAACCGTCAAAGATTACTTATCAAGTTTAGTATAAATTGTTGTAACTAATGGTTAATTTATTTATTAGCCCATAAACAATTACATACATATATATTAGCCATCAAAGCATATAAGAATAATTTTAACTAGTCATACCATCCATATAAAAGTTAAAGATTCATATGTCAAAAGCTAAAATTATGAAAAACCAAAAAAGTGAAAACACCAAATTTGTTTCCTTCTTTCTTTTCACAAACAAAAATACTAAAATTTCTCTCCTTCTTTCTACTTCCATACATTAGAAAACTCAATTTTCCCTCCTCTTTCTCTTCCATAAAAAGATCAAATTACCCTCTTCTTTCCTTCTACAAAAAGTTGAAAACTCAAAAGTTTCCCTCCTTATTTCTCTTTCATAATCAAAAGAATCAAACTTTCCCACTTCTTTCTCTTCCCACATATCAAAACCACCAAAATTCCCACTTGTTTCTTTTCTAAAAAATTCAAAGAATTAAATTTCCCTCTTCTTTCTCTTCCCAAAAACTTGAATACACCAAAATTTCCCTCTTCATTTAAAAACATCAAATTACCAAAAACATTACTTTACTTTATTTATATTTAATTGATAATTTTATTGTATAGTTAAATTAACCAAAATTTTAATTTATATATTAAATTAATATTGTCATGATCTCAAGTGACCTTCATGTTTCAATTTTTGTAATTTTCTTAAAATACGTAATATCAAGTGAGTTTCATATTTTTTAAATTTCCTATACGAAACGAAAAAATAATTTTACTTAAGTTTAGAATGAAAAACTTTATTTTGAAAAACTATGTATTATATATTTTTATAATTATCCAAGTGGATTAGATGAAATTCGGGTTGAGTCGGTCGGGTTACGGGTTAGTCAGGTTCGGGTCAATCGGGTTCGGGTTAATCGGGTTGCGGGTCAGTCGAGTTGTGGGTCAATCGGGTTCGGGTTAATCGGGTTGCGGGTCAGTCGGGTTGCAAGTTAGTTGGGTTGCGGGTCGGGCGGGTTACGAGTTGTTGACTTTTAGTCAATTCAAATTGCGGTCGGGTTGCGTGTCGGGTTAATCGAGCGGGTTAATCAGGTTGGACTATGTTTTGACACCTATAGTATATACTACCACTTAACAAGTAGAATAACTAAACTGCGGTGTTTGGGTAGGAAAGCTAACCCCTTGATAAAACCCTCACACACCTCCGCTCTCTCCCTCTCTCTCATCTCTATCTCGTCCGTCGTTCCCCAGCACCGCGCATTCTTTTCTCGCAATGGCTTTTGTGTCCATGTTCCACCGGGTGCTGGCCGGATCGTTTTCGTCACCGTCAATTATCGGAAGTCGATTCGGCTCCACGCGTCTCTATGGGACTCTAACTTCTCCCAAGCTCTTCGTAAGCGGTACATCTCCCCATTCTACCTGCCTGACAGCGTCTCCTTCCTATTTCCCACTCTCGTCTGTTTGTGTTTTGAGAAAACCCTAGAAAAGCCTTGTGCTTTACTGGCCATTGCTGTGTTTTCTTCAGTGATTACATCCGCTCGCACATATTTTCTTTGATCGGTCTAAGTTCTTTGCACCTAATTCTTCGTTTCGTAACATATACTGCCCAAATGATTGCTATATATGTCATTGCTAGATACATAACATTTAAGAGTATGAACATCGCCTATTCTGCTGCTTAGCTAGAAGCCGGATCAGTTAAACATGGTACTTCCCTGGGTTGAATCCTATTCGCCCTAAACTAGTCTTTACCCCTGAGGGGAGATTTGTGAGCTAGGTTTTGTTCAGAGTCAATCTTCTCTGTTGTTTTGTAAGGAATTGCTCTACTCTTCCGCCGGGATTCTTTTCTATCTTGTGCTGATACTTTATGCTTGTTGATAAGTAAACTTCCTTGCTGAAGTTTCTGAAATTATCAAGAGCCTACACAGTTCCGTTTACATTAAGGTCTCAACATTGACCAATCTTCAGGGTTACAGTATTATGAAGTGTTTAATGGTAGTTTTGTTTCATAGAAAGAGACTATCACAAATTTCTTTAAGTATGGCGCAGAGTACTTTAACTGTATGTCTAAAGATTGTACCATTGAATGAAACCAGGTTCAAATTGTTCTTAGACTGTAAACAGTATGGTCTTCTGAACTCAAGTTAATACTGTCCATTATTCTTGTGTTGTGTATAACAATAGGGCTCTCAAGATTAACTACAGATGAGAAGCTTAAGCAGGCATTTGCTCCTTTTGGGCGAGTCGTTGAAGGTTTGATGGAGCAGCATCTCTTATTCTACTCTTCTGCTTGTCAATAATTTGATGCCTTGTTAACACTCGGTTCCTAACTTCAGTTCCCCAATTGTTTTCTCCAGCTAAAGTGATCATGGATAGACCTACCGGGAGATCGAAGGGTTTTGCTTTCGTGACATATGAGACGATAGAGGAGGCCGAGAAAGCTAAAGAAGAAATGAATGCCAAGTTTTTAGACGGATGGGTTATATTTGTGGACCCAGCGAAGCCGAGGGAGTCTAGACCACCACCACCTCCTCAGTCCCCTGCTGATCCTTCTTCTGTGCTTGGTTTCACAACTAATAAGACTGTCGGTTGGTCTGGTTGATCATTCTCTCCTCTTTTCTGTCAAATGTTTTTCATATTGGTGTTCAGGAAATTATCATGTCCTGCTCACTGGGGCTGTGAGAATGAGTTTCTAGATAGTGAAAACTAGTACGTGTAGCTCATTTTTATACTACTTGCCAATGTGAAACAACAGATTTACCTTCTTTTGATAAACATGATTGTTTTGTTCCCGGTCGGGTCGAGATTTCCTCTCATTCGACGACAGCGCAATAACCTCTCAGAATTCCTTCAACGCAGCAGACAACTTGAGTTTGGTGGTGAAATCATAAGGCTTAATACACTTTCATAGCCATAACTATTCGCGTTGTGACAATTATAGTCACTTTTTGAAAAATACACTCATATAGCAATTCCGTCACAAACTTTAACAACATCACTGTAAATGCTGAGTAGACAAACGTTTTTTACTGACGTGGCGACTTTTCGTCAAAAAAATATTTTTTATTTAATTGCAATTACATGAAAAAAATGAAAAAAATGAAAAAAATGAAAAAACATCTTCCTCCAGACCATCTGCTATTGCGATCTCTTCCCTAATTGAAACCCCCATACCCATTCCCTCGTCAAACCCAAATTCAGTTTCAAGAAAACCCAATCAACTTCCAACGTCCAACCCAAATTCAGATTCAAGAAAACTTAATACGACGAAGGCATGGAAGGGAGGGCGGTGGCGGCGGTGGCGGAAAACGGGAGAACGAAAGGGGGATTTGGTGTAGAGGAGATAGAGCTTGGAGATGGATCCTAAAGCTACACCGCCGACTGGATGGGCATGTGATTTGATCTACAATCTGACCCAAAGAAGATGGTGAGGATCAGGAGAGGAGCGCGGAGAGGGCAGAATCGGGCCGTCAAGGCCGAGCCCAGATCTGCGATGGTGGATTTGGAGGCGACGAAATTTCAATCTGGCGGTGGTGAGGGGTCTCGGAGAGGATGAAGGAGGCGATGTATTTTTGGAGAAATGGATTTGCTTCCCGTATATCTGGTTCTCTCACCCTCTGCTCTTGCCGACATCAGTTTCTCTCGACATCGCCTCCATAGCGCCGCTTCCACCCCTCGCTCCACTTTCAAGATCTACACATCTATCAAAGCATCGATAAGGCCCGCTACTTCTCCGACATTGATATCCGACCTGGGTCATGACGCCTACTCTAGCGAAGGAAACCCAATCGTTGCGCCTGCCTCTCTCTTGGTCGACGGACTGAGTAGATTCGAAGAGGAAGTTGAGATCGCCGACAAAATCATGTCAATCGGAGTTGGGAATTTTAAGGGTGGTGGCACAGTTGGCCAGGGAAGACAGAAAGAGTCGGGATATCTCCCTCCGACGAGGACCTGGAAACTTGAATCGAGGACGAGACACCAAGGGAAACTTCTCTACAGAGATGGCCGCATCTTTCGATATAATAGCAGGCCAACCGCTGGTTGATTAGGGATTTTCCCCTCCGGCGAGCATCTGATTGGTTCTTCACTAATCTGAATTTGGATTTCAACTTTCGAGTTTTGACGAAGAGATCTGGGGGTTGGAGGAAGGTGAACAGGCGGTGTGGGGATGGGAAAAAAATTTATATACATTTTTTTTATTAAAATATGAGGTGGCATCTAGGTGGTGTGGTTTGTCTAGTTGGAGCTGATGTGTAATCCGAGCAGAGTCCACATCAGCACAACGTTAATGTTATTGACGGAATTGTTGACGACGTTAAAGTTTGTAACGGAAATGGTTAAAGTTGTCAAACAAGTTTTCAAAAGTGGCTATATGAGTGTACTTAAAAGTGGCTATAATTGTCACAACGCGAATAGTTATGGCTATGAAAGTGTATTAAGCCTAATAACAACTAGTGCTGGAAGTTTGGTAGTCACTTTGTGCATTTTACATTTGGCAAAATACACTTGGCATGAAACTAGGGATAGGTAGGATAGGTTAATCTGGCATGAAACTAGGGATGGGATCTTCACTGTGAAATCTGCATACCACCTGGCTGTTACTGTGGAGAGAAGAAGGGGGTGCGGGAAGTCCTTGGCTAGTTGGATGGACAAGGCTAGCTGGATCCGTTTGTGGGATGCTGCGATACCTCCCAAGTTAAAAGTATTTGTCTGGCAGGTATTTAGTCGTGCTCTGCCTACGATGGAGGCTCTGTTGGAAAAAAAGATTGCTGTGAGTCCTCGCTGTCCGGTGTGCTGGGCTAGTTTGGAAACAATGGAGCATTTATTTCTCTCTTGCCCGGTTGCGTGCGCCATTTGGGATTATTCGGGATTGAACTATCTGGGGGAGGGGTTGCCTCGGCATACTTTTCCGATGTTTCTCAAGCAGTTGCTGGCCTTGATTGATCAACCACGGCTGTTCATGGCTGTTGTGGCTGTTCTTTGGCGCATTTGGCGATCCCGCAATTGGGTTGTCTTTGAGGGTAAGCAGTATAGCTTCCATGCCTTGATGCGCCAGTTCCACCAGAAGCTGGAGGAGTGGATGAGTTTGCCTTCTACTGGCTTGAAGCAAGTCTCTGGTGCTCGAACAGCCCAGTACGTAGATCCGGTGAGGACAGGCAGTCTGATTTGTATGTGGGATGGAGCGACTAAACGTGGTTCGCACTCGGCGGGTGGGATGGTGATCTTGACACACTCACGTGAGATTCTCCTAGTTAAGGGTGTCCACTTCCCAGGTATTGATGACCCAATGGTGGTTGAGCTTCTTGTGCTTAGGGATGCTATTCATTGGTGTTTAGAGCTTGGGATGACCAACATCGTGTTTGAAGGGGATGCCAAGGTTGTCATTGATAAAATCAAGCAGGCAGATGTACGTGATAGTCGGTCGGGGGCGGTGTTGGAGGAGACAATGCAGTTTTTTAGCGCCCAGTCTGGTTTTGGTATTCGGTTTGTAGGTCGGCGTCACAATAGGGTAGCCCATTTGGTGGCTAGAAGAGCCCTTTCTTTGTACCCGTCTATGATTCGGTTTTTTGATTTTCAGGCCTGGCTGATCTCCAGGGTGTAACTATCTCTTGGTTTGATTCAATATATCACTATCTTTTGTCAAAAAAAAAAAAAAAATACACTTGTATAGCCAAAAGTATGCACTTTGTGACAATAATAGCCAATTTTTAAGAAATACACTAAAATAGCCATTCCGTCGATAACTTTAACGGTATGTTGATTGGACTAACGATTTTGATGACATGACAAGTTTTTGCATTAAGTTGCCTATTTATATATTTCGTACTTCTTTTTTAATTAAATTAAATAAAAAAGTTAAAAAGCATAATCTCTCCACACACGTTTTCACCTTCCTCCTACTCTCGCTGTACCCCTTCCATCGCCCCTCGCCGAAAACCTTCCCTGGCCTCTAGCTCCAGGAAATAAACCCTCAGACACCGCTGCCGTTAACCCTTCTTAGCACCACGAACATGTATATCTTCTCGTTGAACCCAAGCCGCTGCACAACTCGCCGCGGGGGATGGGGAGTTGGTGAATTAATAGGCTCAGGAGACTGGCCCCGCCGTCGGGGAGGGAGATAAAAAGCTCGGGAGACCTGCACTGCCGTTGGAGGTCGATTTTTCAGCGATCATTACGCGAACTCGAACCATAGACACAATCGAAGCGATTCTGATTGACAGATGAGGGATTTATCGACATAAAGGTTAGGGTTCCAAGATAGGGGATTTCAAAATTCGCCACCGTCAAGACCTTTGGAATGGTCACCCGTCGTCGTTGAATAAGGCTGACGACAACGTCGTTTCCCCTGCTTCCTCTCGTCGCCAGCTGCCTTCGATGCTACTTGCTCCCTTCGCTCCTTCTCGTCGACTGGGAAGTAGATGATGTTGTAGTCCTATTGCGCCTACTTCGGCTAAGGTGGCATAGGGAGAGCGGGAGGGAGAGATTTGCGGAGGTATTGGAGGATAGAGGTGGATATCGGACGCACTGGAAGATGAAAGGTTATCGAGGAAAAGAAATTGAAGGAGGACCGGAGGAGCCGAAGCCGATTCCGGCGCCTTGGTCGGACTCAGAGGATGTGTACAACGGCGTTGGTGGTATAGCAACGGTTGTGCTAGCTCAGGCGGACGACTTCTACGAGAAGAACAAACGACAACAGTGGGGCTGCATCGTAGATCTGGCCGGAGATATGAGAGAGAGAGGGAGAAGCTTTATTATTTTTATTTTTATTTTTTGACGTGGCAATCATATGAGGATCTGGCGCTGATGTGGCGCCAAAGTCAACTTGCAGTTATATTTAACGAAAATTGCTAAATTTTTCAAAGTAATTTAAAAAATGTGGCTATATTAGTGTATTTTTCAAAAATTGGCTATTATTGTCACAAAGTGTATAGTTATGGCTATGAAGATGTATTTTCCTTTACATTTTGATACTCCAAATTTGATTTTAAAGTAGAATTATTGAACAATTATGTTTTGGTATCTAAATTTTATGAGATTTCCGTACCTATAATTTTTAAAATTTAAAGTTGAAGCAGAGTTAATGTTGCATAATAAATTACAACTTAGTCAATTTTTACATTTTATATTTTGATACTCCAAATTTAATTTTAATGTAAAATCATTGAACAATTATGTTTTGGTATCTAAATTTTATGAGATTTCCGTACCTACAATTTTTAAAATTTACATATTGGTCCAATGTTTATATTTCACTTACATATTGGTCCATTGTTTATATTTCACTTGAATTCATGAATCCCATCCACCAATCCTTTTGAACCAATCCACGAATCCAATCCACCATAACATAAAAGTATAAATTTAGTTTGTACCATACAAGGTGTTGTCTCACTCAATTGTACGAGAAGATTCGACCATTTTATATTTGCTCATTACGTGTAACATTAAATAAATGATAAAAGAGAGACAACTCAAAAATTGCAAAAGAGAATTTGTAAACTCATTTAGTACATACTCTTCGTTCATTTTTCACTCTCCTTCCATAATCCTTTCTTTATTTCTTTCTTTGCCTTCTTCGTTTAACCCTAATTAGTATACTACTTTTTATGTATTTTAATCACAAGTATGAACGGGTCCGTACACGACTCACCAATAATCTAGAGAACTAATAATTGAATCATGAATCACTATCTTTTTCAACTCGATATCGAGTCAAATTAAACATAACTATATTTGATTATTACTTATCAGAAAGTCATCATTTTCTACTATAGGAGTTGAAAACGTGAAATTTTAAGCG